AAAGAAATATGAAGAGGCTCCTATTGTGATATCAAAGTGCTTTTGTAAATCAGAATAATGTGAACAGTCAGTCAGAAAGAATGATACCATGGAAGTCACAATGTTTTTATCAGCCTGTAACTTAATACGCTCATCAAGGTACGTACAAAAATGAAAATATCACAAAATTATTTACTTCCCATTTTCACAGCCCTTTAGATATTTTTGGCTTAAATGTAACAGCTGTGGTTAATGGCTCTGGAAACAGAAGTTCTGTTTCCATAGAACAGCAGTAAAGTGTACATCCTTCCCAGGTGGAGATTAATTTCATTGTCTGCTCATTCATTTTTAACTGTTTTGGTGAGATTGACTAAGAAATTTCCATTCGTGGGCATGATTTTGGAAAGTTAGTATTTGCTGAATAAACCAAATTATTTCACAAAGGCCGTCCTATGGCTGCTGGGGTCTGATGCAAAAATACGCAATTCGGGCATCGGGAAAGACAGGAGAAGTGCCAGCACAGGCTACAAAGATGCTGGAAGATGCATCTTTTAAAGTACGTGCCTGCCACCCATGATCCGCAGCACAAATGCAAAGTGTCATTTACTGAAGCAAGGCAGCTTCAGCACAGGCTTCCTCTGAAGCCATTCTAATGGTCAAGGAAATACCTCCTTGACAGGCTTTGGGGCACCTCTCTACCCTGGAAGCCATCACATACTGGAGCTGCGGAGCGATGAACATGACACCTGGGAGGGAATGGAAGGCAAGGGAAGGGAAGGGAAGATCTCTGGTGGGACGCTGAGCCTGTGGTTGGAAGCAGGCGGGAAGGGCAAATCCAGCAGGCCACCGAGGCCACCTCTGAAGCAGGCCCTGGCTGCAGATCCAAGACTCAGACCGGATCAGACTGCAGATCCAGCAGACCCCGGCAGACAGCTTTCAGGAAAGCACCGAAGGAGAACGGCCAGTGCTCTCCTCGATGAGGAGGTCAGTAAGAAACCACACAGGGCCGAGCGGGCGGTCTGCCTGGGGTGGTCAGGGCCTGGGCTGGGAGGGGGCAGGAGGAGCGCGGCGAGATGTTGGCCAAGGCAGAAGTCAGTTACTTCATTTTCTTCAAATCCTTAAAATCCAGATGACCATTTGTGATCGAGCAGCCAGATAAAACAGCGCTGACGGGGACGAGCTCCCCAACGGCTGGCGCGCTTCTCCACGCTGAGCAAGGGAAAGACGCGGCG